CGACTGCATGGCCACGCACGATTGCAACACCGTCATTAAGTTTGCTGACAACTCAACGGTGGTAGGCCTGATCACCGACGACGATGAGACAGCCTATAGGTAGGAGGTCTGAGACCTGGCGGTGTGGTGCTGATCGTGGACTACAGGAAAAGGAGGGCCTTATTCACATCGACGGGCTGTAGTGGAGCGGGTTGAGAGCTTCAAGTTCCTTGGTGTCTATCATGGTCCAAACACACCAAGAAAGTAGTGAAGAGGGCACGACAACGCCTATTCCACCTCAGGAGGCTGAAACAATTTGCCATTGGTCCTCAGATCCTCAAAAGGTTATACAGCTGCACCATCGAGATCATCCTGACTGGTTGCATCACTGTTTGGTATGGCAACTGCTCGGCATCCGACCACAAGGCGCTACAGAGGGTAGTGCGTACGGCCCAGTACATCACTGGGGCCGAGCTTCCTGCCTTCCAGGACTTCTATACCGGGTGGTGTAAGAGGAAGGCCCTAAAAATGGTCAACGACTCTAGCCACCCAAGTTATAGACTGTTCTCTCTGCTACTGCATGGCAAGTGGTACCGGAGCGCCAAGTCTGGGACCAAAGGGCTCCTTAACATCTTCTACCCCCAAGCCATAAGACTTTTCAACCTTCCCAAGTTCTCCCATGTCACTCCGCTCCTCCGCACACGTCACTGGCTTCCAGTCGAAGCTTGCATCCACTACAAGACCATGGTACTTGCCTACTGTCACGCCCTGACTCTGGGGACTCTTATTTGTTGATTCAGGGTGTGATTTTCTATGTTGTATTTTCTATGTTTAGATCTATTATGTGTATTTCTATGTTGGCCGGGGTGGTTCCCAATCAGAGGCAGCTGTAGCTCATTGTCTCTGATTGGGGACCATACTTAGGCAGCCTATTGGCACTAGTGGGTTTTGGGATCTTGTTCCGTGTTAGGTATGTTGTTTGTGTACCTTGGACTTGTATTTATAAGTCTAATAAACATGTATGCATATCACGCTGCGCCTTGGTCTGACCCGTTCATGAACGAACGTGACAGAAGACCCCACCAAACGAGGACCAAGCAGCGTGCCCAGGAAGAGCGAATTACCATGTCACAGGTGGGCAAATGGTGGTCATGGGAGGAGATATTTGTGGGGAAAGGGCCATGGGCAAAGGTATATGCCCAGGCAGGAGAGGAGCAACGGCAGCACAGAGGAAGCCGGTCGAGGAAGAAGCCCGAGACACAGCCCCAATATTTTTTTTGGGGGGGGCTAAGAGGGTGGTTGGCGGAGCCTAGGGTTAGAGCAGAGCCAACTCCCCGTACTCAAGCGAGAAGGCGTATGACTGGGCAAGCTCCATGTTATGCGGAGCTACGTACTGTGTTGCCAATGTGACGGCACAGTCCTGTACGTCCTGTGCTTGCACCACGCACGTGCCGTGCGAAGATGGGCATCCAGCCAGGACGGGGTGTGCCGGCTCAACGCTCCTGGTCTCCAGTACGCCTCCTCGGTCCCGCATATCCTGCGCCAGTACTACGAGCTGTATCGCCAGTGCGCGTGCACAGCCCAGTGCCTCCTGTGCCAGCGCCCCGCACGTGTAGTGCGAAAGTGGGCAGCCAGCCAGGATGGGTTGTGCCAGCTCTACGCTCCAGACCTCCAGTCCGCCTTCGCAGTCCGGTCCGGCCCGTTCCTGCTCCTTGCACCAAGCTAGTGATGCGCGTCGCCAGCCCAGCCCGGCCCGTTCCTGCCCCTCGCACATAGCCAGTGGTGCGCGTCGCCAGTCCGGCCCGGCCCGTTCCTGCCCCTCGCACCAAGCCAGTGGTGCGCGTCGCCAGTCCGGCCCGGCCCGTTCCTACCCCTCGCACCAAGCCAGTGGTGCGTGTCGCCAGTCCGGCCCGGCCCGTTCCTGCCCCTCGCACCAAGCCAGTGGTGCGCGTCGCCAGTCCGGCCCGGCCCGTTCCTGCCCCTCGCACCAAGCCAGTGGTGCGCGTCGCCAGTCCGGCCCGGCCTGTTCCTGCCCCTCGCACCAAGCCAGTGGTGCGCGTCGCCAGCCCGGCCCGGCCCGTTCCTGCTCCTCGTACCAAGCCAGTGGTGCGCGTCGCCAGCCCGGCCCGGCCTGTTCCTGCTCCTCGCACCAAGCCAGTGGTGCGCGTCGCCAGCCCGGCCCGGCCCGTTCCTGCTCCTCGCATCAAGCCAGTGGTGCGCGTCGCCAGTCCGGCCCTGCCTGTTCCTGCTCCTCGCACCAAGCCAGTGGTGCACGTCGCCAGCCCGGCCCGGCCCGTACCTGCTCCTCGCATCAGGCCAGTGGTGCGTGTTCCTAGTCCGGTCCGGCCAGTGCCTGCTCCTCGCACCAGACCAGTGGTGCGTGTGTCCAGTCCGGCACGGCCCGTGCCTGTTCCACCGGTGCCTTGTCCGGCACCGGTCAGCTGCTCCACTCCGGAGCCAGAGCAGTCCGCTCCACCGGTGCCTGATCCAGCTCCGGTTAGCTGCTCCACTCCGGAGCCAGAGCAATCCGCTCCAGTCCAGCTCCGGTCAGCGGATCCACTCCGGAGCCAGAGCAGTCTGCTCCACCGGTGCCCAGTTCAGCTCCGGTCAGCTGCTCCACTCCGGAGCCAGAGCAATCCGCTCCACCGGGGTCCAGTCCAGCTCCGGTCAGCGGCTCCACTCCGGAGCCAGAGGAGTCCGCTCCACCGGTGCCTGATCCAGCTCCGGTCAGTGGCTCCACTCCGGAGCCAGAGCAGTTCGCTCCACCGTCGTCGGGTCCAGTTCCAGTCAGCGGTTCCAGTCCAGACCCAGACGTCAGCCCCTCTCCAGGTTCGGGGTCTCCCACACCAGGGTCCAGACAGAGCTTGGTACTTCGTGGGAGGAAGGAGAGGGGAAGCAGCGCGCCGAGGTCCAGACCAGACCAGGGGCGCAACAGGGAGGCGGAGAATAGTTGGTGGTCACGCCCGGAGCCGGATCCGCCTCCGAGGCGGAATGCCCACCCGGCCCCTACCCTGTTATGTTTATGTTGCGCGGTCGGAGTCCGCACCTTTGGGGGGGGGGGTACTGTCACGCCCTGACTCTGGGGACTCTTATTTGTTGAGTCAGGGTGTGATTTTCTATGTTGTGTTTTCTATGTTTAGATCTATTATGTTTATTTCTATGTTGGCCGGGGTGGTTCCCAATCAGAGGCAGCTGTAGCTCGTTGTCTCTGATTGGGGACCATACTTAGGCAGCCTATTGGCACTAGTGGGTTGTGGGATCTTGTTCCGTGTTAGGTATGTTGTTTGTGTACCTTGGACTTCACGTTTCGTTTCTTGTTTTGTCGTTGTGTTTATAAGTCTAATAAACATGTATGCATATCACGCTGCGCCTTGGTCTGACCCGTTCATGAACGAACGTGACACCTACGGAGCAGCAAGATAAACTGCCCCTCCCTACTTTCAGGCTATGCTCAAACCCTACACCCCAACCAGAGTGCTCTGTTTGGCCACCTCTGGTCTCTTGGCCCTCCCACCCCAACGGGAGGTCAGCTCCCGCTCAGCCCAGTCAAATCTCTTCTCTGTCCTGGCATCCCAATTGTGGAACCAGCTTCCCCCTGAAGCTAGGACAGCAAAGTCCCTGCCCATCTTCTGATATGTGGTTGTCCCAGATATCTTAAGATGAATGTACTAACTGTAAGTCGCTCTGGATAAGAGTGCCTGCTAAATGACTTTAATGTAAAATGTAAAATGGGACGGATAGGAGAGAGTGGGAGGAGATATGAAGGAGGGAAAGGTTAGGTGTACAGTAGGAAGAAACAGAGCCTTGCTATGTGCTGCATGATGTGAGTGGACTCCCCTGTATCTTCCCAGTTTCTCCACCAAATGAAGCGATGGTATGGTGGTATTCCTGCTGATACACAGCCGTCTCTCTGCCCTGACTGAGAATGGGATAGGGTCAGACTGAGGCTAGTGGACTAAACTTATATCGCCCCTCGCCTGCTCTCTATTTCTATCTGACAGTCAGTGTGTTTGTGGCTCGCTGTGTCACTGTCACTGTGTTGATGGTGGTGTACTGTACAGGTCTGGATGGTCATTGTATCAATGGTGAACTGGTCTGCATGGATGTGCTGGTACTTTGTGTCACTGGTGTCACTCCTTTCCTGCTGCCATTCACTGTCTGTCTGAGTCAGTTACTCACTGTGCTCTCTCCTCTGCTCCTCTCTAGCCTGGCTGGGAGGAACGGGTGCATGCAGACGGCAGGACCTTCTTCATAGACCACAGTAAGTAACCCTCCTAGAACTCTCCCTTTCTTCTCTATGTAATACCATATGCTGACTGTTTCTCTCTTTTGCTTGGATACTTGAGTTCTTTCTCTCCCTTTCTCAAACAAATATTGTTTCTCTCTCTCTCTCCCTCTTGCTCTCTCTCTCTCGTTCTTTCTCTCGTTCTTTCTCATCTTGGATTGGTTGTCTGGCTGACCTAATTAATCAATATCTCTCCTTATGTGAACCTGACACTGTGTCTCAGGTTACTGCCCATTCATAATTTAAACTTTACATATTAGGGAAGTGTCAGTGTGCTCAACTTCATGAACAGGATGTCAGCATTCTGTGTGTATGTGTGTAAGAGGGAGTCAGAGTTTAGTGATTTAATGGTTTTCACCGATGATTCACAATTTGACAATACGTCTTGGATAGAGTGGCAGGTAGCCTAGCGGTTAGTGTTGGGCCATTAACCGAAAGGTTGCTGGTTCGAATCCCTGAGCCGGCTAGGTGGACAAATCCGCCGTTCTGCCCCTTGAGCAAGGCAGTTAACCCCCAACAACAACTGCTCCCCGGGTGCCGATGACGTGGACGTCGATTAAGGCAGCCCCCCGCACCTCTCTGATAAATGCGGCAGACACATTTTGGTTGAATCCATTCTGTTGTGCAACTGACTAGGTATCCCCTTTCGAGTTTTGTGTCTGTCACTGCTTTGTCATCATGGTATATATCACAGTATCTAACCTTATTCCTGACTGTTATTTTGTCACCTTCAGACACCAAAACCACTCAATGGGAGGATCCTCGTCTACAAAGCCCAGCCATCACAGGGCCTGTGAGTATCTGTGGGTAAAGATGAGGCAAAGATACTGTCACCATCATACAGTATTGTACATGACAAATATACTATATTTCATGACCAAGATAAGCCACTCTCTCTATATAGAATAGACAGTTATTGACTGATATTTGTTTATTTCATTGCAGGCTGTGCCGTACTCCAGAGAATTCAAACAGAAATACGACTACTTCAGAAAGAAGTTGAAGAAACCGGTAAGAAATATTACCTTGCTGTACTCTGTATGTAATTGACCAGTTTAGTCAATTACATGTGGGTACGTTTTCAGAGTATGGTATGCAATCCAGGTGAAATTGTGAATTATTTCACTGTTAAGTGAAAGTGTAAAAACACTTCACCTTACCTCACACATTCTAATTATCATTATTAATGTAAAGAGAAACTTCCTCTCATTCCTCTCTCTGCGTGTATTTCCTGGTTAGAACCTATACACTGAAGAAGGATTTTAGTTTTGTGTATGATCCATTAGAAAAATAATAAATAAAACAAATTAAAAAGTAAACTTTTAGAAACTACTTTTTAAAGTGGACCTGTATTTTTTTGTATTCCCTTTAGAAACACTGGATGTGCATTTTAAATATTTTCGTATGTATATATTGTGTGTGTGTCTCTCTTTCTCTCTCACTCGCTCTCTGTGTCTTTATGTGTATGCTTTCTATCCATGTGCTCATGCGTCTCCGTGTGTGAATCCCCAGGTGGACATCCCCAATAGGTTTGAGATGAAGCTGCACAGGACCAACATCTTTGAGGAGTCGTACCGACGCATCATGTCTCTGAAGAGACCAGACATCCTGAAGGCCCGCCTCTGGATCGAATTTGAATCAGAGAAGGGCCTGGACTACGGGGGCGTGGCCAGGGAATGGTTCTTCCTGCTCTCCAAAGAGATGTTTAACCCTTACTATGGACTGTTTGAATACTCAGCCACGTGAGTCTGGGGCTGGGCTTTGTTGAAAATCAAGGGATAAATATATTTCATTATTTGAAATGACTGAACAAATTAAGCAGTGTGGCTTTAAAGATATAGTGCGAGATTTTGTCAATTAAGTCCCTTTTCTACTTACCCAGAGTTAGATGAAGTGACTGCTAAGCAATTGCGCTAACGCTACTTAGCATCTTCATTCAAACTGCACACAGAGACATAAAAATAGTGTCCATGAGTTCATCTGACTCTGGGTAGAAAAGGGGTTTAGGGACAGATTAAAATGTACAGAATGGCTACCTGGAGGAGAATGGGGGGGTCATGCTTTTTCAATTTCAGTCAAGGTGAGAGTTTAATAGTCCAGGGGAGGGTCATGTAATTTGTAATTGATGAAATTTCTCTGTGTTTTAGAATTAGTTGCTTATTAAGCTATATATCGATGTGTGCCCGATGCCACCCCTCATCTCTGATTCTCCACAGGGCGTGCAATATCAATTGCGCTTATAGGCTACTTAGTGTGGTCTGAATCAAATTATCCATAGGCTACGAAGTGCATGCTCATAGAAGCACAGAGCAAAGTAATATTGCTAAGAAAGCTGCTGGGATGGTGTAAATGAAACTAGGCTGCATTAGACACTGCAATGGATATTCCAACCCTGAGCTCCGGCTTGCTCTGCTCTTGCTGATCAAAAAACGTTTTGTGTGCTGCTTAACCAATGGATGTGCTGTGTAGGGCTACGGTGGCAGTTCAGGAGGAGAGTCAAATGTTTCTTCTGAAAGTAATCTTTGATTAGGCCTAGTCCTTGCGCCTATAGACTATGTTCTGTTCAGTTTGAGAAGGAGAGTGCAGATGGGAAGGAGGTCCGGAGGTAAACTCTGATAGCTTACTACTACAATAGTATATTTAAGCAATAAGGCCCAAGGAGGTGTGGTATATGGCAGTTCTTAGGCACGACGCAACGCAGAGCCGTGGTATATTGGCCATATACCACAAACCCCTGAGGTGCCTTATTGCTATTATAAACTGGTTACCAACGTAATTAGAGCAGTAAAATGAAATGTTTTGTCATACCCGTGGTATACGGTCTGATATACCAATCAGCATTCAGGGCTTGAACCACCCAGTTTATAAAGTCATATATAATTGGTTTTATTAAAAACAATGTGTTTCTTGCCCATGATGTATTTATCAGAGTTATTGACCTCACAATAATCTAGATTCGTGTAACTTACATTGTGGTGCTGAAACTTGAAGCAGCAGCCACGGCACAATCATTTGGAAATGGACAGCTCATGGTGCTGAAAGTAGGCAAATTCGAGTAGGCATAATTCATTAAAATAGTCTTCCTTTTTTATTAGACTTTACTAACAACAAGAGGGCTTTGTGTTGGAGCCTGTTTCTTCCTAGTTAAGAAATAAGAGGTAGGCCTACCTGTTTGACAGATGAAATTAGGCTATAGGCTGCTATATCCATAGATTTGTAATGGAGACGCAGGGAGTCAGGAAGCAGGTGCAGTTGGTGAGTTTAATAATAACAATCATGGAGAGATACAAGACAAGAAAACCAATACTGCCTGATGAATGAGTGCTAGATAAAGGGGAAGTAATCAAGGTAGTGATGAAGTCCAGGTGTGCATAATGATGGTGCGCAGGTGTCCATAATGATTGTTGCCAGGTGTGCGTAATGATGGGTTGCCAGGTCCGGTGGTTAGTATACCGGTGACGTTGAGCGCCAGAGCGGGAGTATGCATGACAAGATTTGTCAGCCAATTCCTCCACCCACCATGCACTCTTTAAAAATCCTACCTCCGTGTCATTGAAGGGCTCTTAAGTTAAAACCAAAACTCGAATTGAGGGGGTGTGAGAGGGTATGCCCTAGGCCTACCTTTTATTAAAGAAAATGGCAAAAAGAACAGGCCTACCCTTTGTTAGTTTAAGATTTTGAAGAAAATTAAAACGGATCCGATTATATAATGTGATCGATAACAACGCTTTGGTCCACAATGCTTTATGCTAGAAACAAGCTCTAAATTACCCGGGAAAGACTTGACTCTGAAGCATACGCAACGATCATAGTTTAGTTTCTTTGACATTCAGAGGCTGACTTTGCTTGGGAAGTAATCTAATTCTGTCACTATCAATTGATTAAGCTATTCATTTTCTGTACAATAGAAGACGTTTAAACCCAGACAGCTTTTAGGGAAACACTTGTGACCTTCTCTCGTTGAAGAGTAGCCAGCAGTTAAAGCTTAAATGTTTCTACTTCGGTAGACCTACTCTGTCTGGGGTGGAAAGGTAGGCCTAACTTTTGAAAGTAGGCTACCATGCTCAGATTCCTAATGACAGGGACAGTTTCGTTGCAAACAAGACACACTGATTTGGCATTGGAGAAATATGATAAAATGAACACATAGGCCTATCTCTCTGTCCATTCTTAGCCTGTAATTTCGGTAATTTGTGTGGTATTAAAAAGATTCCGCTAATATGTAAAATTACGCAGAATTGCATGACATTTTTATAAAAGTCCATTTTTTTCTCGGACCTGCAAATACGATGATTGATTCATGCAATGCTTTTACTATATACTGTAGGAGATCTTTCCACCCCTACTCTTGTCCACGACCTTCTGTCCCGCAGCCCTGTGCACTATAAAAATTCCTGCGTTGCCATTGTAATGCTTAAAGGACGAAGAACAGTTTCTAAAACGGCATATCTATGGCTCTGATCTGTCCAAGAAGTGAGGGTAAACGGTTGACATGTTCTCTGCTGTCTACTTTGTTTTAATTATTATTTTGGGAATAGGGGAGGGTCACTTTTTTTTCCAAGCGTTCAGGGAAAGGTTTAGTTAAAATATATTTTGCTGAACGGAGGGCCATCCATTTTCATTTCAGAGAGGTCCGATTTTATCCATGTAACCCTTATTATAAGTAATGTTCACTCCCGTAATTGACAAAATCTCAGACTATCCTTTTAAGAAACGCTCACACAGATGAATTGCCTGATCTGAATGAAGAACATCCTCTGTTGGGTTCCACTAAGTATGTAATCAAAATATAACATAAGGTATGCCTAAATACATCATGTGCAGAGGCAGGAGGCCGAATGATAAGGCCAGGCACTGTTAATTTTTCTTTGTCTAGAAACGCAGTGAGTGATACTAGCAGCAATGTAAGACACACATACAGTTCCTCTCATTATATTGGCTTCCTGAAAAGCCATGCTAGTTTCCACTGAATATGTACTATTTTCACCCTCATTCATCACAACCACAGACATGAGCTGTGTTCGAATACCCATCCTAACATTTGTTTTATTTAATTTTTTTATTTAACCAGGTAAGCCAGTTGAGAACAAGTTCTCATTTACAACTGCGACCTGGCCAAGATAATGCAAAGCTGTGCGATAAAAACAACAACACAGAGTTACATATGGGGTAAAACAAAACATAAAGTCCAAAATACAACAGAAAATATATATACAGTGTGTGTAAATGTAGCAAGTTATGGAGGTAAGGCAATAAATAGGCTATAGTGCAAAATAATTACAATTAGTATTAACACTGGAATGATAGATGTGCAAGAGATGATGTGCAAATAGAGATACTGGGGTGCAAATGAGCAAAATAAATAACAATATAGGGATGAGGTAGTTGGGTGGGCTAATTTCAGATGGGCTGTGTACAGGTGCAGTGATCAGTAAGGTGCTCTGACAACTGATGCTTAAAGTTAGTGAGGGAGATAAGAGTCCCCAGCTTCAGAGATTTTTGCAATTTGTTCCAGTCATTGGCAGCAGAGAACTGGAAGGAATAGCGGCCAAAGGAGGTGTTGGCTTTGGGGATGACCAGTGAGATATACCTGCTGGAGCGCATACTACGGGTGGGTGTTGCTATGGTGACCAATGAGCTAAGATAAGGCAGGGATTTGCCTAGCAGTGATTTATAGATGGCCTGGAGCCAGTGGGTTTGGCGACGAATATGTAGTGAGGACCAGCCAACAAGAGCGAACAGGTCACAGTGGTGGGTAGTATATGGGGCTTTGGAGACAAAACGGATGGCACTGTGATAGACTACATCCAATTTGCTGAGTAGAGTGTTGGAGGCTATTTTGTAAATGACATCGCCAAAGTCAAGGATCGGTAGGATAGTCAGTTTTACGAGGGCATGTTTGGCAACATGAGTGAAGGAGGCTTTGTTTCGAAATAGGATACCGATTCTAGATTTAACTTTGGATTGGAGATTCTTAATGTGAGTCTGGAAGGATACATACTGTATACTACATACTTAATGAGTATATACTACATACTATTAGTACATTTTAGTATACTGTAAACGAACGGTATCCTTTCAGTTGATGGTACTAGCGCTTCGCCTGTCTACCGGAAGTTGATGCTGTTGCTATGCAACCTCTTGCTAGCTTATTAGCATAACAAATTACTAGCTAGACTTCGGTTGTGTTTGTAAATTCAGTCTGGAGTGCCAGAGTGCGCTCTGGGCGTTCGTAAATTCAGGGCGTTGTCAGATTGTCCGTTCGTAAATTTAGAGCGCACACTGGACGCTCTGGCCGAGGAGTAGGGTTGATCCGAGCGTTCTGACCTCACAACGGCAGTCAAGCATCCAAGCTAACTTGCTAGCTACTTCCAGACACAAATGAGAGAACACCTCACTCTGACCATTTTACTCGCCCTAGCAGAGCTGGTTAGGCAGTTTTCATGTTATCCAGAGCGTTGGTGACTGTACAGTGGGGGAAAAAAAGTATTTAGTCAGCCACCAATTGTGCAAGTTCTCCCACTTAAAAAGATGAGAGAGGCCTGTAATTTCCATCATAGGTACACGTCAACTATGACAGACACATTTAGATTTTTTTTCTCCAGAAAATCACATTGTAGGATTTTTAATGAATTTATTTGCAAATTATGGTGGAAAATAAGTATTTGGTCATCTACAAACAAGCAAGATTTCTGGCTCTCACAGACCTGTAACTTCTTCTTTAAGAGGCTCCTCTGTCCTCCACTCGTTACCTGTATTAATGGCACCTGTTTGAAATTGTTATCAGTATAAAAGACACCTGTCCACAACCTCAAACAGTCACACTCCAAACTCCACTATGGCCAAGACCAAAGAGCTGTCAAAGGACACCAGAAACAAAATTGTAGACCTGCACCAGGCTGGGAAGACTGAATCTGCAATAGGTTAGCAGCTTGGTTTGAAGAAATCAACTGTGGGAGCAATTATTAGGAAATGGAAGACATACAAGACCACTGATAATCTCCCTCGATCTGGGGCTCCACGCAAAATCTCACCCGTGGGGTCAAAATGATCACAAGAACGGTGAGCAAAAATCCCAGAACCAAACGGGGGGACCTAGCGAATGACCTGCAGAGAGCTGGGACCAAAGTAACAAAGCCTACCATCAGTAACACACTACACCGCCAGGGACTCAAATCCTGCAGTGCCAGACGTGTCCCCCTGCTTAAGCCAGTACATGTCCAGGCCCGTCTGAAGTTTGCTAGAGTGCATTTGGATGATCCAGAAGAGGATTGGGAGAATGTCATATGGTCAGATGAAACCAAAATAGAACTTTTTGGTAAAAACTCAACTCGTCGTGTTTGGAGGACAAAGAATGCTGAGTTGCTTCCAAAGAACACCATACCTACTGTGAAGCATGGGGGTGGAAACATCATGCTTTGGGGCTGTTTTTCTGCAAAGGGACCAGGACGACTGATCCGTGTAAAGGAAAGAATGAATGGGGCCATGTATCGTGAGATTTTGAGTGAAAACCTCCTTCCATCAGCAAGGGCATTGAAGATGAAACGTGGCTGGGTCTTTCAGCATGACAATGATCCCAAACACAAAGGAGTGGCTTCGTAAGAAGCATTTCAAGATCCTGGAGTGGCCTAGCCAGTCTCCAGATCTCAACCCCATAGAAAATCTTTGGAGGGAGTTGAAAGTCTGTGTTGTCCAGCGACAGCCCCAAAACATAATTGCTCTAGAGGACATCTGCATGGAGGAATGGGCCAAAATAACAGCAACAGTGTGTGAAAACCTTGTGAAGACTTACAGAAAACGTTTGACCTGTGTCATTGCCAACAAAGGGTATATAACAAAGTATTGAGAAACTTTTGTTATTGACCAAATACTTATTTTCCACCATAATTTGCAAATACATTCATTAAAAATCCTACAATGTGATTTTCTGGATTTTTTTTCTTCTCATTTTGTCTGTTATAGTTTACGTGTACCTATGATGAAAATTACATGCCTCTCTCATCTTTTTAAGTGGGAGAACTTGCACAATTGGTGGCTGACTAAATACTTTTTTTCCCCACTGTAACTGTGCTGCTGGCAACAATTTACTGACACCGGCCACGTTCAACTGGTGTTGAGCGTTCGTAAATTAATAGGTTATTCTGCACTCTGCCTCTGACACAGTCAGACGAGAGTGCTCTGAAATCGGAATGCACCCGAACGACTAAACCACTTAGCTAAGCTATGAATGACGTGAATAATCAAGTCAATAAACGTTGGGTAGCTAGATAGATAGCATAAAGTATATATACTGGCAAGTTCGATGTACTAGTAGCCAACTAACGTTGCAGTAGGTAGGTAACATACCCGGTACATACTGCTGTAATGATATGCTATGCACTTCGTAAGGATAGCGTAGCTAACAAACTTAATTTTCTTAACATTTGTCATAATTAGTTAAAGCAACGAATTTGTATCTGCTCTCTTCGGACTTCGGCTGCATATTTTTTCCATCTGAAAACGTTGTGAACCCACGCCCATTTTCCGAAGAATTGCATTATGTGCCCTAACATCACGGAAAATAGTGTCCATTGCTTGTATACTTCGTATTTTGGCTAATGTATTACGACATCCGGGAACTTTTGGCATGCTAACTATATCCATACTATGACTAATAAGCATACTACATACTCAATTTACGTCACAAATAGTATGGTTAGTGCAGTTAGTATGAGTATTCGAACACAGCTATAGTCTTTTTGACCAAAAATGGCAGTTTGCACATTACTGTTTTCTCTCCATTTACTTATAAATATAGTGTTTTTAAGATTTGTATCTCACAATTAAATCTTGATCCTGGCCTTAGGAAGTAACTTCAGATCATTGACCTCTGACCTATTATACAGTTTTGGGCACCAAAAAGTGATGTTGTGCCATGGTATTGAGAGAACAATTACTGCAATGCATGTGCAACACTGAACTGTAGTGTCTTCTAGCGATACTTTGATAATTTTTTTTGTCACAGTACAGGGTTTTGAAAAACATACTTTTCACTGCCAGCAACTGTACCCTCTGTTCTGTCTTTTGTCCCTACAGAGATAACTACACACTACAGATCAACCCTAACTCTGGGCTGTGTAACGAGGACCACCTTTCATACTTCAAGTTCATTGGTCGAGTGGCAGGGATGGCTGTGTTCCATGGGAAGCTATTAGACGGTAAGCTGCTCGGCTCACCTTGATGACAACACCTTGATAACAACAATCATAAGACATTAGTTGATATTATACCATGGCGTTGTTGAATACTTGTTTCTGATTGGCTTGAAAAATGTAGCAACATTTTGTCCCCAGATCTTACATTGTCTTCTCTCTCTCCAGGCTTCTTCATCAGGCCATTCTACAAGATGATGCTGGGGAAACAGATCACACTGAAAGACATGGAGTCAGTGGTGAGTGAGGCCTCATATCCATCTCACTATCTACAATGTCTTCAGAAAGTATTCACACCTCTTGACTTTTTACAAATTTTATTTTGTTACAAATTGGGATTAAAATTGATTTAATTGTCTTTCTTTTTCAAAGAACCACACAAAATACTCTAATGTCAAAAGTGGAAGAAAAATTCTAACACACACACACAAAAATATATATATATAGTATTCAACCCCCTGAGTCAATACATGTTAGAATCACCTTTGGCAGCGATTACAGCTGAGTGTTTTTGGGTAAGTCTCTAAGAGCTTTGCACACCTGTATTGTACAATAGTATTATTCTTGAAACTCTTCAAATCAAATCAAATCAAATCAAATTTTATTGGTCACATGCGCCGAATACAACAGGTGCAGACATTACAGTGAAATGCTTACTTACAGCCCTTAACCAACAGTGCATTTATTTTAAGCAAAAAAAGTAAAAATAAAACAACAACAACAACAACAAAAAAGTGTTGAGAAAAAAAGAGCAGAAGTAAAATAAAGTGACAGTAGGGAGGCTATATTTACAGGGGGGTACCGTTGCAGAGTCAATGTGCGGGGGCACCGGCTAGTTGAGGTAGTTGAGGTAATATGTACATGTGGGTAGAGTTAAAGTGACTATGCATAAATACTTAACAGAGTAGCAGCAGCGTAAAAAGGATGGGGTGGGGGGGCAGTGCAAATAGTCCGGGTAGCCATGATTAGCTGTTCAGGAGTCTTATGGCTTGGGGGTAGAAGCTGTTGAGAAGTCTTTTGGACCTAGACTTGGCACTCCGGTACCGCTTGCCGTGCGGTAGCAGAGAGAACAGTCTATGACTAGGGTGGCTGGAGTCTTTGACAATTTTGAGGGCCTTCCTCTGACACCGCCTGGTATAGAGGTCCTGGATGGCAGGAAGCTTGGCCCCAGTGATGTACTGGGTTGTACGCACTACCCTCTGTAGTGCCTTGCGGTCGGAGGCCAAGCAGTTGCCATACCAGGCGGTGATGCAACCAGTCAGGATGCTCTCGATGGTGCAGCTGTAGAATTTTTTGAGGATCTGAGGACCCATGCCAAATCTTTTTAGTCTCCTGAGGGGGAATAGGCTTTGTCGTGCCCTCTTCACGACTGTCTTGGTGTGTTTGGACCAAGCTCTGTCAAGTTGATTGTTGAGCATTGCCATACATTTTCAAGTCGATTTAAGTCAAAACTCTAACTAGGCCACTCAGGAACATTCAATGTCATCTTGGTAAGCAACTCCAGTGTATATTTGGCCTTGAGTTGTAGGTTATTGTCCTGCTGAAAGGTGAATTTATCTCCCAGTGTCTGTTGGAAAGCAGACTAAACCAGGTTTTCCTCTAGGATTTTGCCTGTGCTTAGCTATATTCTGTTTATTTTTATCCTAAAAAACTCCCTTGCCAATGATGAGCATATCCATAACATAATGCAGCCACCACCATGCTTGAAAATATGAACAGTGGTACACAGTGATGTGTTGGATTTGCCCCAAACATAATGCTTTGTATTCAGGACAAAAAGTGAATTTCTTTGACATATTTTTTGCAGTATTACTTTAGTGCCTTATTGTAAACAGAATGCTTGTTTTTGAATATTTTTTATTCTGTAGAGACTTCCTTCTTTTCACTCTGTCAACTACAATGTTGTTGATCCATTTTCTCCTATCACAGCCATTAAACTCTGTAACTGTGCAGGATCAGGTCGACCCAGGATTGTCCAATGAGGTTGTGACGTTGTACACTACTGGCTTAAAAGTATACAAAATACCGCTGTCGCATCTCTTTAAGCAGTTGTCCAGTTCGTACAGACTGCTCCCGAAGCATACAGATTCAGGGGTGTCAGACTTAAGACTTGAAACTCAAAGGGTGGTCCTCTGTAGCTCAGCTGGTAGAGCACAGCGCTTGTAACGCCAAGGTAGTGGGTTCGATCCCCGGGACCACCCATACACAAAAAAATTATGCACGCATGACTGTAAGTCGCTTTGGATAAAAGCGTCTGCTAAATGGCATATTATTATTATTATAAAGGCAATTAGACGTGTTCTATATGTAATTTCGTTCCCTAACACTCTAACCCTGTAGGACAGTGAATACTACAACTCTCTGAAGTGGATCTTGGAGAATGATCCTACTGAGCTCGACCTGCGATTCTGTATCGATGAGGATAACTTTGGACAAACGTACCAGGTGTATCTGAAACCCAGTGGTAGTGATATGGTGGTCACCAATGACAACAAAATGGAATACATAGAGTAAGTTAACACATCTTTCATATTGAATCACACACAGTGTTAAATGTAATGCCCTATAATTTAGTTACATCCCTTGGGGTATTATAATAATCTTATTCAAGACTCAATATTCCAGTGTATTTGTAATTTCTTGGTATTAAAAATACATGCATTAGAAGTCTTTGTAGATAATGGCTATGTCATGATATGATATTACTCCATTGTTATAGTATATCAACTATTATATAGGTTTGCACTAATTATATGTTCTGCCTCCTAACAGCCTTGTCATCCAGTGGCGGTTTGTGAACCGGGTTCAGAAACAGATGAACGCCTTCTTGGAGGTGAGTGTGTAGTACCATAGAGATGCGTCATATTTTTTATTATTCTATGGCAGTAACAACCATGGCCACTTGGGGGCAGTAAAGCACAAGGCTTTGCACCCAGACCAATAGGTCAACACAGGCCTTGTATTGAAGTGTTAAGCCCATCTTTGGAAATACTTTCATTAGTTTTTTGGTTTTATATACCCATCTTACTGTAGATAACTTCTAGACACCCATTTTTTGTTCAACAGAAAGTCATTAGCAGCTGAAAAGTTTCAGTAAATCTTGCCTGTAATGACTCAAATAGCTGTTCTACATTGGGTAGTACAGGTAACTGCCAAAATAATAGACACGCTTGAGTAAATGAGGGATACAATGTATATTGAAAGCAGGTGATTCCATTCAGGTGTGGTTCCTGACTTAATTAAGCAATTAACATCCCGTCATGCTTAGGGTCATGTATAAAAATGATGGCAGGCCATTATTTTGGCCGTTAGTTTGTCTACCATGGCTATGCCTCCATAGGATTACAACAATGCCCCTATCCACAGGGCATGAGTGGTCACTGAATGGTTGAGCATGAAAACTATGTAAACCAAATGCCATGGTCATCTCAGCCCCAATTGAACGCCTATGGGAGATTCTGGAGCGGCGCTTGAGACAGCTTTTTCCACCACCATCAACAAAACACCAAATGATGGAATTTCTTGTGGAGTTCCAGACATTCGTAGAATCGATGCCAAGGTGCATTCAAGCTGTTCTGGCTCATGGTGGCCCAACGCCCTATTAAGACACTTTATGTTGGTGTTTCCTTTATTTTGGCAGTTACCTGTATGTGATTACTGATTGTATTTCCCACTCTTTTGTACAACAGGGATTCACTGAACTCATTCTCATCGACCTCATCAAGATATTTGATGAAAACGAGCTAGAGGTACAGTATTGTTCATTCCATTGTTTTCCTCACACTGTTCATTGGTACAATGATTTGTCACTCTGTTAACTGGTGGATCTGAAAACAACATTTTTGAATATTTTCACACCAATAAATAGATTGAGAGTCACTGTAGGAAATATAGTATCGCCGTAACAAAAAAACTGTGTAATTAATGATTGTGGCAACACTACATGGTTGAGTTTAACCTTCACATTCCTGCTCTAATCTGTGTCTATGGCAGATAAAGCCCACACTTGTTTCAGTGTGTCTGTAGGCAAAGTTTCTGTCTGTCTGTGTCTTTAGGCCAAGGGAGCCATGGGTTTCGTTTTCTCTGTCTCTGTTGTCTAAGGGCACTGTTTTTGGATGTTTAGAAACCCAGAAGGATGATGATTATTAATACCTATGTCCTCTAGAAAATATTATTCTGGGCTCTATCATTTCTGTATGTGAGTGATAGTGAAAGTAGTCTTATTATATTGTTGTTTTCTCTCTGTGTGTCTTCCCCAGCTGTTGATGTGTGGTCTGGGTGATGTGGATGTGAATGACTGGAGACAACACACAGTCTACAAGAACGGATACTGCCCCAACCACCCAGTCATCCAGTGGTTCTGGAAAGTAAGACAGGCCTCGCTCCCTCTTTCTGTCTCTTTCTCCTTCTGGGTCGTTCCACAAAATGAGAGGTTTTGTAACTTGGTGGGGGGATTTTTTTTTTTATGTCACCTAATTTTAACATTGTCATGATGAGCACATGTTCAACTTAATTAAAAACATGTTTCCCATCTCAAGAGGTTATATAAACAAAGTACTATAGTAAGTGCCAAATAAAGTAACAGGGTTGACTGTAACAGGGTTGACCGCTACAGCTATAAATCCTCTTGTGACGGGGATGGAAGCTTGTTGTGTGCAACAGGGAGGGGCAATTGAATGCAAGCTTCACAAAACATTTGTAAGTGTTAAAACATTTCTAGCCTGTCTATCTATGGGTAACAGGGTTGATGTGTTATGCTCGACCCACTCAGCTTAACACCACAAAACAGAAGACAATGGTCAAAAAGAGTAGAACCAGCTCACCTGCTTTTACGCTATGCTTTGACTATTAGTTCTTCAATGTTTCTTTTGATATTTTTTTTTACAAAAAAAGGAATAGTTTCACCATATTAAAATGAGAATTCAGTTCACGTAATGGGGTTGACCTTAAAATGAGGGACATGTTTTTTTTTTACCTTAAAATGAATCACTAAGGGATAGTTTTAAATTTACTGGGTTGGCGGGGTGGGTTCCAAAATAGGGGAGGGTTGTCTAACTGTTGTTTTTTTTGCTTTGGGGAGGGTTGTGTGGTTTTTTATTTGGCACAGGGGATGGTATAGTGCGTTATTTTCCCTGGTATACATTTGCTCTTTTGCAGGTTTTAATATATCATTTCTTCCATCCTAGCCACATTTCCTCATCTGTTTGCCTCACCTATATCAAGGTGTTTTGGTCCTTCCCTTATGCACTACGCTTCTCTGCACACTAACTATACCACAGGTCAATATAGTCTACCAGTCTAACTGTCTATCCTGCCCTCTATCCACCATTCATAATGACAATAATGGTAGGTGGATCGCTTGTCCAGATCTGCAATAGGCTAACTAGCATCATACCACACATAAAATCATTCAAAGCTGCACTGTCTGTTGTGGATCATCATTCTCCCAAGTCATCCTATAATAATGTGCCCACATATGCTCCCAGCAGGCCCAAATATTCAGGAAAGCCTTACCTCCTCCAATCTAAGCGGCTATTCCTTGCGCACCTAGAACCAAAAGCTTCAATATAGCCTAAATATGTGTCATTTCACTTTTAAAACGTATTACATTTTATGTGTGGCATAAACACAACCAATCTGATTAGGCTTCTTCAAAAGTCTCCTATAGACTAACTTGCTTACTTTCATCCAAAATGTAATTCCAGCATCCAAACTGTAGCAGCCCCAGGCATGATTTGGTTGGGAGCCCCCCCCCACCTCACAGTCAAAACATTTTAGTGCATTATTAGTTTTATACTTCATTTCCTGAAATTCTACAACTTTTGTCATATTAATATGCTATCTGAGTGAGAGTCACTAGCAAAATCAATGTGATAACTCAAACCATAATGTCGAAGTGCCCGAGTCGGTATGCTTTGCTTATTGATTGTGTGGTGCATTGGCACAGAAACCTGTTGTTGGAAAGTTAGCATCAAACTGTTGAAAATCTGATTTCCACTTCCATTTCCATTTCCACTGATCATTGTCTGCAGCCGGCTCTGAGCAGCCGGCTCTCTCGTAGTGTAATGAAACCGGCAGCGAGAGTTAGCTCGTCTGTGGTGGTTGGCAAACCCTCAACCTTCTGGCCCGTTGCCCTGCGTGGCATCGACTGTGCCACAAAAGCATGCTGAAGTGGCAAAGTTTTGTCCACGTTTTATAAACACAGGGTCGCTACAGTTATTGTTATTTGTGGGTCATAAACATTATTTTGAGTTAATTCTATGAGGGTGATAGGTACAAGGGGAGGGTCATGTCAAAATATATTTTACATTAGGGAGGGCGGGTGCATTTTCTTTATGACACCTCTAGTTGGACCAGCCCCCCCACCCCCAGTACATTTTTAACTCTCCATAATTACTTGAAATAAATAATATTCTTCAGATGCAACAAAATAACTAGGGCTGTACAATGATGGAGATAATTTGGGGTTAAGTGGGTTCAAATCTTCAGAGAAGTCAAAATGCAGAACTTTAGCACTTTAGCAATTCTTTAGTCATATTATTGCCATCGAGATGTTAGCTATTAAAATCAGATCCAACAATAATATCAAGGGATTAGAAATACAGGGCTTAAAAACAAAGGTGTCATTGTACGCTGATGATTCATATTTTCTTTTAAATCCACAACTTGAATCCCTCCACAGCCTCATAGAGGATCTAGATACATTTTCTAACCTATCTGGATTACAACCAAATTATGATAAATGTACTATATTATGTATTGGATCACAAAAAAATATAAATTTTACATTACCATGTAGTTTACCAATAAAATAGTCTGATGGTGATGTGGATATACTCGGAATACATATCCCAAATGAAATAAATGATCTCACTCCAATACATTTTAATAAAAGTTAGCAAAAATAGATAAGATCTTGCTACAATGGATACCTGTCAATTTGTGAAAAAATAAACCTGATTTAACTCTTTAGTATTATCCCAGTTTACCTATTTGCTTATGGTCTTGCCTACGCCTAGCGAACAGTTTTTTAAATTATATGAGAAAAAAACATTCAATTTTATTTGGAACGGCAAGCCAGACAAAATTAAACGGGCCTATTTATATAATGAATATGAATTCGGAGGACAGAAATTATTAAATATTAAATCATTAGACCTATCACTAAAAGCTTCAGTCATACAAAAGTTATACTTAAATCCGAACTGGTTCTCTAGCAAATTAGTAAGATTGTCTCACCCAATGTTCAAGAATGGCCTTTTTCCCTTTATTCAGATTACAACCTCTCACTTTAAGTTATTTGAAAAGGAAATAATCTCCCAAATATCACTATTTCTAAAACAAGCCATAGAAAGTTGGTTGCAATTTCAATTTAATCCTCCAGAAACGACAGAACAAATAATGCAACAAATATTGTGGTTAAACTCAAATATACTAATTGATAAAAACCCAAAAAATTTTTACAAAATGTTTAAAAATTGTATAATCTTCGTAAATTATATTATCGGTAGGACTGGGTGAGTTATGTCGCACATGCAGCTAACAAAAACATATGGAAATGTCTGCTCTACCCAAAATTAGAACCAAATAATTGCAGCATTACCGCAAAAATGGAAGCGGAAAGTGGAAGGGGGAAAAAGTAAGGAACTTGTCTGTCGGCCTTGCATTAAATAATATAATTGGTTAAAGAAATTTGTGATAAATAAAAAAGTATACCAGTTTCATTTAAGGACCAAAGGATTGACAGCCGCCCATATAGATTGCAAAATAGTTGGAATGAGATTTTTGACGTACCGATTCCATGGCATAGTGTTTATGAATTGATACGCAAAACAACGGCAGATTCAAAACTTTAAATGTTTCAATTTAAATTATTATATAAAATTCATGCTACCAATAGAATGTTATTTATATGGGGGATACAATCTTCCCAGCTCTGCAGATTTTGCTTCGAAGAGACAGAATCATTAGATCATTTGTTTTGGTACTGTCCATTTGTAGCTTGTTTTTGGCCAGAAATGGCTAAAGGATTGCAATATTTACCTGGAGCTAACCCTGCAGATAGCACTACTGGGTGATCTGAAAAGTCATAGTCAATCGATCAATAATGTAATAATACTTTTAGCAAAAATGTTTATATTCAATTTACGATCTGTAGAAACAATGAGAATAGAAAGGTTCAGAACTTTTGTAAAACATCACAGTACAGTTGAAAAATATATGGCAAATAGAAATCCAATATGGATGGTGTTACGAGATAGATGAGAGGTGTTGAATGGAGCTGAAGGATGGGACTAATAACAACAACTAATTACAACAAGATAACTAATGTAAAGCATACTGTGTCCATAATAAGTATATAGGTTATAGGTTGAGAGCTTTTGTGAAAGAACACAGTTAGAAAAATATGGCAAATAGAAGCAAACCAGATGGACATTATGAAAATGATCGGAGGAAGTTCAGGAGTAAAAACAAATAAAATATAATTATTGTAGAATTTGCCTGTGTCCATAAAATGTATATAGTATTTATGGGCGGGAAGTAGAGGCCTAAGCGTTGTTGTTCACTAGTTTACTCCAATTGGGGAAGGGGTGGTGGGGTTGGAAAGTAATTACATTTACATTTTAGTCATTTAGCAGACGCTCTTATCCAGAGCGACTTACAGTTAGTGCATACAATTTTTCATACAGTTAGTGCATACAATTTTTCATACCCGTGGGAATCGAACCCACAACCCTGGCGTTGCAAACGCCATGCTCTACCAACTGAGCTACATCCCTGCCGGCCATTCCCTCCCCTACCCTGGACCAATTGTGCGCCGCCCCATGGGTCTCCCGGTCGCGGCCGGCTACGACAGAGCCTGGATTCGAACCAGGATCTCTAGTGGCACAGCTAGCACTCCGATGCAGTGCCTTAGACCACTGCGCCACTCGGGAGAATGAAGGGAAATATAATTTAAAAAAGGATATGTGTGTGTGTATGGATGTATGTATGTATGTATGTATATATATGTGTGTGTGTGTGTGTGTGTGTGTGTGTGTATGTATATGTGTGTGTGTGTGTGTGTGTGTATGTGTATTTTTTTTTTTTTTGAATTTTCCATGTTGTTAAAGGGCATAATTTAATATAACAGCCTTTTAAAATCCAATATTGGTGCACAATTTCTACTTTAAATATCAAACGGACACAAAAGGGACTCATTTCGTGGAATGACACTTCTATCTATCCCTCCCTGTCTCCCACCCTCCTTCTTTCCCTCCCCTCTTTCCCAACCAGCCTGCTACATCTGTTTAGCACAGCAGTGTGTGTGAAAGGTTACCATCAATCTAAAATGAAACACTATCTGTGTGACTCTGTCCTACGATAGGCTCTGTGTGTGTGTGTGTGTGTGTGTGTGTGTGTGTGTGTGTGTGTGTGTGTGTGTGTGTGTGTGTGTGTGTGTGTGTGTGTGTGTGTGTGTGTGTGTGTGTGTGTGTGTGTGTGTGTGTGTGTGTGTGTGTCTGTGGGTGTGGGTGTGTGTTAACATCCTGCGGGAAAAATACTGAACTACTCAGACCACCAGTCATTGTTGTTCTCAATCATTAATGAGATAAATCATAGAGGAAAATAATTTCCACAGCCTGTAAGTTACATGATACAACAAAAACTACATACAACATAATTTATTACTCAGTTGGTAGTAAATGATTTTGGGGCCAAAACCTGTACAGCGTTTGAAGATCAAAGTCTCTTTGGTTTAAAACAGACATGTTTGCTCTGATGAAAGAGTAGGCCAGAGTTGCACTGGCCCTGGTTATCAGCCCTGTCGCTCTCTGTCTGGGGCCAGGAGCACTTTCACCATACACGCACGCACACACTGCATGCACGTACGCAGGCACAGACACATGCAGAGGCGTGCATGCACACACACGGGGTCAGATGAGCTGATTCAGAAAAAGAGACCGGTTTAAACAGCTTCTGTCTGTCCTTTCTTGTCATGTTGTCCCCCTCCCCTCGGGTCCATCTGAGCTATTGGCATATTGTATTTATTGGCTACTGTCTTTAGAACCATGTTTGTCTCATTCGCTGTTGTAGTTCTACTGTCCTAAACCTATAATAATTATAACGTCCTAACCCTTGACTTATTCCACATTTTGTTGTGTTACAGACAGCCTGAAGTCAAAATGGATTAAATAGGGGTTTTATCTCACCCATCTATACACAATACCCCCTAATGACAAAGTGAAAATGTTTTTAGAAAGCACATTTTTTGAAAATGAAATACAACTGGATTGTGCAACATTTTCCCAATATTATTTTCTAAATTCTTCAAGCTCTGTCAAATTGGTTGTTGATCATTGCTAGACAACCATTTTCAGGTCTTGCCATAGATTGTCAAGTAGATTTAAGTCAAAACTGTAACTCGGCCACCCAGGAAAATTCACTGTCTTCTTGGTAAGCAACTCCAGTGTAGATTTGGCCTTGTGTTTTAGGTTAATGTCCTGCTGAAAGGTGAATTCATCTGCCAGTGGATGGTGGAAAGCAGACTGAACCAGGTTTTCCTCTAAGATTTTGCCTGTGCTTAGCTCCATTCCGTTTCTTTTTCATCATGACAAACTCCCCAGTCCTTAACGATTACAAGCATACCCATAACATGACGCAGCCACCACTATGCTTGAAAATATGGAGAGTGGTACACAATAATGTGTTCTATTGGATTTGCCCCAAACATAACACTTTGTATTCAGGACCCAAAAAAAGTGAGTTGCTTTGCCACAGTTTTTGCAGTATTACTTTAATGCCTTGTTGCAAACAGGATGCATGTTTTGTAATATTTTTATTCTGTACAGGATCCCTTGTTTTCACTCTGTCAATTAGGTTTGTATTGTGGAGTAACTACAATGTTGTTGATCCATCCTGTCACGGTTTCGGCCGAGGCTGCCTCTCTTCCTTGTTCGGGCAGGCTTCGGCGTTCGTTGTCTCCGGAATACTAGCTGCCTCCGTTGTATGTTTCATGTTCGTTTGCTTTTGTCTGTTTGTTGTGACACCTGTTCTCGTTTAGCGTAATTAGTGTCCTATAAGTTTCTCGTTGTGTTTGTCTAGTGTTGTGTGTGATTGATTTATTTCTGTCGTGTGTTGCTTGTATATTGCATTTTCGCTCGGTTGAGCTTCACTCCACTGCGTTGGAGCATTTACGCACATGTTTAGTGCGCCTTTATTTTTGTCGCCTTCGTGCGTAGTTTCGCCTTCGGGCAAGTGTGTTCTTATTTTCCTTGTTGGAAATAGTACTAAAGTCTTTTGGACTATACTTCGGTGTCCTGCGCTTGATTCCACCACTACACCCACCTACAGCACTCTTGACACATCCTCAGTTTTCACAGCCATTAAACTCTGTTTCTGTTTTAAAGTCACCATTGGCCTCATGGTGAAATCCCTGAGCGGTAACTGAGTTAAGAAGGGTGCCTGTATATTTGTAGTGACTGGGTGTATTGATACACAATTCAAAGTGTAATTAATAACTCCACTATGCTCAAATGGATATTCAATGTCTGCTTTTTTCATTTGTACCCATCTACCAATAGGTGCCCTTCTTTGTGAGGCATTGAAAAACCTCCCCTGGTCTTTGTAGTTGAATCTGTCTTTGAAATTCACTGCTCGACAGGTACAGAGATGAGGTAGTCATTTAAAAATCATGTCAAACACTATTATAGCACACAGAGTCCATGCAACTAATGTGACTTGTTAAGAAAATTTTTACTTAGGCGTGCCATAACAAAGGGGTTGAATACTTACTGACTCAAGACATTTCAGATTTTCGTTTTTAATTAATTTGTAAACATTTTGAAAAACATAATTCCACTTTGACATTATGGGTTATTGTGTGTAGGCCAGTGACAAAAAACTCTCAATTTAATCAATTTTAAATTCAGGCTGTAACACAACAACATTTGTGAAAAGTCCAGGGATGAGAATACTCCATATCATAACCATTGTGTAATCTCAGTGAAATCCATAGCCGTGCCTGCTCTGTACAACATACTCATTTGTTTGAGTGTGTCTGTGTCTATGTCTGTCTGTGTCCCTGCAGGCTGTGCTGCTGATGGATGCTGAGAAGAGGATCCGTCTGCTTCAGTTTGTCACCGGGACATCCAGGGTCCCCATGAACGGCTTTGCTGAACTCTATGGTGAGAGACAACACTATATGCTTCCTCTGCAGAGCTTTGGCACAGCTCAGTATGCTAGGAGAGCTGTAGGAGCTTTTTGGATAGGGTTGTGTAGTAACAGCAGTGTATTTTATAGCTGAATAATACCTCTGGGAACTTCTGTGTCTCAATCCCAAACTGTGTGGATTGACCAAAGACTGTAGTACTGTATGTTTATTACCTCTTTTCCCATGTCATCTCAGGTTCCAATGGGCCTCAGTTGTTCACAATTGAACAGTGGGGAACACCTGACAAACTGCCCAGAGCACACACCTGGTGCGTACCTTTTAGCCACCTAATTTCACACAATACTTTTGAGTGTGCCTGAAAAGGATTGTAAAACATGTTTTTTATGATTGCTAACACCTCCTATGAATGTAGCATTTAATGTTATACATTTATTTAGAGTTTGTAGGAAAACAATTTTTTTTAAATGCTCAGAGGGAGGAAATTCTGTTTCTCTTCTCTAGCTTCAACAGGCTAGACCTGCCTACCTACGAGTCATTTGACGACCTGCGAGAGAAGCTGTTGATGGCTGTGGAGAATGCTCAAGGCTTCGAGGGCGTCGACTAAAACTACAACCAGCCATCTTGGTTGAACACCACTACAGAGAAAACTTACCACCAACCACAGAACATAACGTTTAAAAACCAACTGCCACAGAACAGTAAAAAAAACAACTGACTAACTGTAATTCTACAGCTGCAGCAGTGGCCGTAGCGGGGTCTACCTGACTGTGCAAGAATGTTGTATGTGCATGATCAACCGCCAAGGCTACTGTACAGTTACAGAGACATGAGCCAATGAGCCATGTCTGTCTGTCATCTCCTTCTATGTCAAGGTGCTAGGGAACAGGGCCAGTGCAGTGCTGTGCAGCCAATGCAAAACAGTGCACCCAATTCTGAAATCTGCAGTGCTGGAATCTCTGATCTGATGCATTTCAATATGAATATCTCTCCTGTTGTTGTATTTGACACCCAGCCAGTCACTCTGCTGTGCTGTGGAGGGCATGGCCTGCTGGTTCCTGTTCCTGCATTCTGTATGAGATTAATCAAATCACTACTACTCCTCTCTCCAAGATAACCTGCTGGATCCGGCATTGAATCGCATCACTGATCGATTCGAATCCTGAATCGAATCACTACTCAACTCCTCCTCTCTAGGTTACTGTACTACTAAAGTACTACCACCACCAGATAACCTTAGGAATGCTAACCAATCACAGATTCACTGATGAGGATATTAGCCTAGCCATGTCTGAATGCTCACCTCTCTCTCACTGTATGACTACTATGCCTGCCTGGTCCTGCCTACCTACCTACCTGCCTACCCACCTGTCTGTAGAATAAGGTCTATCCACTGGGAGGCAAGGAAGCAAGCGGTGGGGATTCTTCTCAACTACATGTACTATCTTGTATCTTCTTTTGCAAGCCAAGAAGTAATGGGATCATTTTTATTATATTTTTTATATTGTTATTATTATCGCTCTTACAGAAAACACACTTCTGACAATATTTGTACCGATGATAAACATTGTTTACTATTTTGTGTGGGGAAAAATGTGTGTAAATGTGTCAATCTGGCCGTGGGAAACAATGATCATCCATATTAGTTAAATCATGACGTGTTTATTGTAGTGCTATGAAAGCAAACGGCATGAAAATGTATCTTGTGTTTGCGTTTAATTACGTAGTAATTACAAGTGTATTCTCCGTCTTTAAACTAAAAATCCCTCTTGGGTGGGAGGAAAAGGGAAGAATTGTGTGAATTAGTCTGATATGAGAGATATGTGTCACAATTATGATATTAATATTGTTATGCTTATCCCTCCCTGTTCATAATGCTGTAAATGCATTTTTTTTTACATTGAGAAATTATTTCATTATTATAAATATATATGTATTACGTCTAATAATATAAGTATTAATAATGAACAGCACATAAAAATGAAGCTGAACTGTGAGAGAAGGCTGTGATTGCCACTGATAGAAGAGCAGCAAGTTCTTACAATACAAAATGTTGTGTGTCTGTCCCCTATGGGCCGTGGTCAAATGTAGTGCACTACATAGGGAATAGGGTGCCATTTGGGGTGATGTAGTTTTTTTAGAGGTTTATTTTCTGCTCTTTCTTCTAACACCACTGAACCTAAAGGGCACTTTATCCATCACACTAAGGCAGGGTTTCCCAAACTCGGGCCTCTGGACCCCAAGGGGTGCACATTTTAGTTTTTCCCTAGCAGTACACAGCTGATTCAAATAATCAACACATCATCAAGTTTTATATTTTCTGATCTTTCTTCTAACACCACTGAACCTAAAGGGCACTTTATCCATCACACTAAGGCAGTGTTTCCCAAACTCGGGCCTCTGGACCCCAAGGGGTGCACATTTTAGTTTTTCCCTAGCAGTACACAGCTGATTCAAATAATCAACACATCATATCAAGTTTTATCATTTGAATCAGCTGTGTAGTGTTAGGGCAAAAACCAAAACGAGGACCGAGTTTGGGAAATGCTGCACTAAGGTTATGGGGCCTACATGCCTGTAGTATGTCTTTTATCATTGACTTAAATGTGATGTATTTTTTATTGAGAATAGCACTTGTTTACCTTGTGCAATATCTAGGCTTGTGTCCCAAATGGCACCATATTCCATATATAATGCACTACTTTTGACTCGAGTCCTACAGGCCTTGGTCAAAATGTGTGCACCATATAGGGAATATGGTGACATTTGTGACACAGAACTATAGTCTGTAAATCTGCCTGCTGCTAATGTATAAAGTGACAGTCGTGAAGAATGGATCTTCACACTCGTCCCCTCACTCTCTCTCCTCTCCTCCTTTATCTGTTCATCCCTCTATTCCACTTTTCATGCTCCACCGACCGTGGTTCAATAGATTCCTCCCTCTCTCCTTACAGTATGTATTTGTTTGTGAAAATAAAATGTCATTTTTGTTAAATTCCACAACTCCACAACAAGCCCTTGCGGTTCATATAACCTGGGTCAAATTAAAACTGAAACATGGAAACTCATTGGACTTTGTGTTTGTGTCATTGTGTGAAATGGTCGAAAGTTGTGCTCTATATAGGGAATATGTGTGTCACGCCCTGGCTCTGGGGACTCTAGTATGTTGAGCCAGGGTGTGAGTTTTCATTTGTTTATGTTCTAGTTGTTGTAATTCTATGTTGGCCAGGGTGGCTCCCAATCAGAGACGGCTGTAGCTCGTTGTCTCTGATTGGGAGTCATACTTAGGTAGCCGTTAGGCATTCATTATTTGTGGTTTCTTGTTCCGTGTTGGTTTGTTTATGTAACCAGGGACGTCACGTTTTCGTTTTGTTCGTGTGTTCATTCAAGTTTAATAAAATGTTCGCATTCAACGCTGCGCCTTGGTCCTCCTCTATGAATGACGATCGTGACAGAAGAAACCACCTCGACTGGATCAAGCAGCGTGACGAGGAGAGAGGATGGACTTGGGAGGAGATGAGTGCGAGTCTGGCAAGAGGGATGGAGGCCTTGGCCACGGGTAGGAGTGAAGCCCATAAATTTTTTAGGGGGGGGCTAACGCCGTGGACGACGGGCCAGCAGGAGACCGCGGCAGAGCGGCCCAGCGGATTGGCAGAGGAGGCCGCCAGGTTACGGGGGCCACTGGTCGAAGAGGGGGTGGAAGATGTAGAGGCACGGCGAGAGGTACTGGCGTGTGTTGCCAGTCCGGTCCGGCCTGTTCCTGATCCCCACGTAGGGCCAGTGGTGTGTGTTCCCAGTACGGTTCGGCCTGTTCCTGCCACTCGCACCAAGTCTACGGTGCGCATCGCCAGCTCGGCCCGGCCCATTCCTGCTCCCCGCACCAAGTCAGTGGTGCGTTTCGTCAGCCCTGTCCGGCCCGTTCCTGCTCTCCGCACCAAGTCTGTGGTGCGCGTCGCCAGCCCAGTCCGGCCCATTCCTGCTCCCCGCACCAAGGCTGTGGTGCGTTTCGTCAGCCCTGTCCGGCCCGTTCCTGCTCTCCGCACCAAGTCTGTGGTGCGCGTCGCCAGCCCAGTCTGGCCCATTCCTGCTCCCCGCACCAAGTCTGTGGTGCGTTTCGTCAGCCCTGTCCGGCCCGTTCCTGCTCCCCGCACCAAGTCAGTGGTGCGCGTCGTCAGCCCGGCACGGCCCGTTCCTGCTCCCCGCACCAAGTCAGTGGTGAGCTTCGTCAGCCCAGTCCGGCCCGCTCCTGCTCCCCGCACCAAGTCAGTGGTGCGTTTCGTCAGCCCGGCTCGGCCCGCTCCTGCTCCCCACACCAAGCCAGTGGTGTGCGTCGTCAGTCCGGCACGGCCCGTGCCTGTTCCACCGGTGGCGGGTCCGGCACCGGTCAGGTGCTGCGTCACGCCGGAGCTAGAGCAATCCGCTCCACCAGTGTTCAGTTCAGCTCTGGTCAGCAGGGCCAGACCGGACCAGGGGTACTTTGGGGGGTTAGAGAAGGAGTGGGGGTCATGTCCGGAGCCGGATCCGCCGCCGAGGCGGAGTGCCCACCCGGTCCCTCCCCTGTTGTATTTGGTTGGCGCGGTCGGAGTCCGCGCCTTTAGGGGGGGGTACTGTCACGCCCTGGCTCTGTGGACTCTAGTATGTTGAGCCAGGGTGTGAGTTTTCATTTGTTTATGTTCTAGTTGTTGTAATTCTATGTTGGCCAGGGTGGCTCCCAATCAGAGACGGCTGTAGCTCGTTGTCTCTGATTGGGAGTCATACTTAGGTAGCCGTTAGGCATTCATTATTTGTGGTTTCTTGTTCCGTGTTGGTTTGTTTATGTAACCAGGGACGTCACGTTTTCGTTTTGTTGTTTTGTTCGTGTGTTCATTCAAGTTTAATAAAATGTTCGCATTCAACGCTGCGCCTTGGTCCTCCTCTATGAATGACGATCGTGAAAATATGGTGTCATTTGGGACGTAGATCTGTAGACTAAATCTGCCTGCTTCTAATGTAAAAGTGACAGTCTTCAAGAATAGATCTTCACACTCGTCCTCACTCTCTTCTCCTTTATCTGTTCATCCCTCTTCCTCCGACTGTGGTTCAATTGATTTCTCCCTCTCTCCTTATATACTTGTTTTTTAGGGGGTCTTATTTTTTCTTAATGGGGAAAAGACCATTTCACTTTTGTTAAATTCCAAAACTAAATTAATGTTTATGATCTAGCCAATTTTGACTTTGCAGCTGGCCCATCTAGTGAAAATCACTCAGTTCTACGTCCAGGGCAAAATTCATGACAATCAAACGTCAAAATGCCTTCTGGTCTACTAGTTCTACCATAACTGGAGGAACTCAGCCAAGTAATCTACAAGACCTTTAGACCGTATGGCTGTGTTAAACATTAACCCAAGCCAAAAACTTGTCAATAGTTGGAAATAAAGAGTGGCTACACAGCTTTATTCACCATAGTCTGCTTATATTGTTTAATAGAGGGGGGAAACAACTTATGAAACTTTACAGAAAGTCCATTGAGTGAGCTGATTCTAGTAAATGAAGGGGTATAGAAATGTAGCCTTTTCTATATTGCCATTTCTTTGGATATATCCATTATAATTATCCTGATAAATGAAT